GGACTCCACAGCAGCATGGTCGTGGGGACCCGGGAGGAGACTCACAAGGGCGTGAGGAAGGAAGAGAGAGGAGCCTATTTCAACCAGCTTCCAGAAAGCACTGTTTTTACGTTAATGTCTCCCAAACAGGAAGGACTGGAGCAGGTTTCTGAGTCCAGTCACTCCTCATTCCAGGCCCAGCTGCCCAACCTGCCCCAACAGATGTGTGACTTCAGGCAAATTAACTTCATCGGTGGCCGGCCACAGAACTGTCACAGAGGCCCAGCATGGAAAGCCAGGGCCTCTTCATCGGTAAGGGTTAGGGACACCAACTGCCACAGCCACGGCCTACAGAGACCAGGAAATATGACGGACATGTAGCCCCTGCTGGCTGGGAGAATGAGCCTGGGCTTCCAGTGGCCACACAGATTTCAAAGAGGGCGGTGATGGCCCTGGCTGCCCAACCCACAACCAGCTGTGTGGCTCCTAGCAAGTTGGCTTAATCTGGTGGCCTGGAGAACTGTCGTAAAGCACCAAGTATGGAAGGCCAGGATTCGTTCAGAGTCTGCTAATAAGCCACAACGGATCCGCCGCCCTGCCTATCCCTACCCCCAGATAAGGGTCAGAGGCTGACAACAAGGAGACCTGGCAGCTGACCTAAAAGATTTGGAACTTGATGTGAGAACCCACGCAGAGTGCTGGATCAGGATGACCCCCCACGCTGCAGCCCTCCCTGTGAGGAAGCTGCTGAGATTGTCAGTGCCCCATGTCTTCCTGCACAGGCTCTGGGCTCCCCTGTTGGGGACAGGGATGGTGGCAGTCACTGTAGAGTCACCTGCCACCACATGTGTGTACATCTCCCTCTGCAGCAGCAGTGTTCAGCAGGGTTTCCCGGCCCCAGCCACTACCTGGTATCTCCTTCCACCTATCTGGAAGGTACACAGCGATGTCTTATTATTGCTTTAAAGTCTGCTTTATTTGTTGATTGAGAGAAGCAGACATTTATGAGCTCCTGATGTATGCCGGGCACATGTTCAGTATTAGCAATGCAGTGATTAAAAACAACACGGTCCCTTGGTCCTCTTCACAGGAAGGCTCAGAGAGGTTAAGAGAGGCCTAGGGCCACCCAGCAAGTGAAGGGGAGCTGGGGTTTGAATGGATCCGTGTGGCTGCAGAGTCGAGCTCTTTTGCCTCCTGAATCATAACTCATAAATTAAGTCTCTGAACCCAAGGGCCAGAACCCTCAGAACCCATGCACCCTCCTGGTGGCTGAATTTATCATCTGTTCCCGTTTTTCTAACTTTGGGTTTCAGGCAAGCTGGTCCTTGACCTACTGCCACCCCACCCCAAACCACCAAGAGTCATTTTCTTCCTCTTGTCATTGCGTGTGGTGGTGGTGTATACCTGTGTGTGCAGGTGTGTGATACAGGAGCCTGCGTGTGTAAGTCTGCGTGGGTTGGAATGGCTTCGTGACCAGGTGTCTGTATGTCTGTACCGTTTTTGTCTGTGGGGTTAAGAATAGATCCATCAGCCCCTCAGAAGTTGCTCTGTTTCCCTCTGCAAGCACACATTGTAGCTTTAAAAGGTCCCCTTCCTTCAGTGACCATGTCATAAAAGGGTGCAGCCCAGGTAAGGAGGTCCTCTGGTGAGCTTACTCCCAGGTGGTGCTGTCAGGCCCGTTCCCTCTCGTGTGACCTCTTCCCTGCTTTGTGCTTCCAAATGGCCCCAAAACATGACTGGGTTTGAACTCAGGCACTCTAGCTTGAGCCACTCCTCTAGCCCGTGTGACACCTTTTTATTAGTGAAATCAAGACACCGATTCAAAGCTCATCTTCCAGGGTCCAAGCTTTAATCAATGTTGCGTAGAATCACGAGGCAATGCGTTCCTGCAAGAAGATTGATGTCCTAGCACTCACACAGGATGGTCTTTCTGCGCGTGAGTCCAAGGCAGGAACGAGCCGGGAGTGCCATCTCGTCACTTATATTTTCGCCCTGAGCCAGGAGTGGGAGAGGGACCTTAAACAGTGAGCACTTCCTGGCCTCTCTAACTCCCCCTAACCTGTTCATTGTAACTGAGCGCAGACTCAATCATCTCTCCGTCATTCCATCCTTTCCCATCCTAGCCCCTTGGTTTAATGATAAGCCTAGCGATTTCACCATCCACCCATGTATCTCTTGCTCCCATCTATCACTGTCTTCCTAGCCTGCCTCTTAACCCATCAAACTCATAACACCAGCTAGTCAACTAGCCATCGGTGTGCCTCCACCAATCATATCCTTCCAACTTTAACCAACCACCTAACCATTGTCCAGCCCATGGGTCATTGGATCCCTGCGTGCTCCTGTCCATGCTGTTCTGCCATTCAACACACACATCCATTCCTCCCTCCCCCATTACCCATCCACCTACCTGGCTACCTGTCTAGAACCCACTCAACTTAAAGAAACCAGCCGTGCGTTGGATGGACGTCCAGCTAGCCAGTGGCTCTTTCTCTTTGTTCTTGCCTGTAGTCCCTTCTCAGCTGACTCAGGGTAGCAGCCTCCACCTCCTCACCCCCAGACTCCAGCCGGGCTGCTACCCCCATCCATGGGCCCTGGCCCTCCCCCCTTCCGGAAGGGTACCTGTGCTCTGCCTCTTTGATCGGTATACCCGCTTGTTCCTCCTGACTGCCCTTTTCTTGTTCACCTTCCCTTCCAAGGTCTTTTTGTTCTTGGGGCAGCTGCTGTAATGAGCAGGCCGTGGGGGAGAGAGTTGGGAGTGCGTGGTCTGTCTGGGGGGCTTCGGTGGCGGGCTGGGGCTCACACTGGAGCTCGGACGGCCAGGTGAGCTGCAGCTCCGGCCCCAGCTACAGCCCTGGCAGTGGAGGCTGCAGGTGCACTGGCTGCAGGTGTGGCTTTGAGGCCGAGAGCTGCTGTGGGGCTGGGTGTGGGTGGTGGGAAGGCTCTGCATCTTGGTGTCCATGGGAGGCTACGCTTGGAGGGGCAGAGGCCTCCTCCTCTTCCTCTCCCAGCAGGCCCAGCTTTACAGAGGCCCAGCAGCCCCTGGTTATATAGCTGAGCCGATTGTGATGGCACAGGTCACAGAGGGTGACAGATGTGGCCAGGCTGGGACTAAACCCTTGCCCCTTATGCTCACCCCAGGGCAGGGAAATCTTCAAGGCCCTAGGGTTCACTTACCTCTGGTTAGGAAGTTGGGGTCCCAGTCAGATTGAGCCAAAACACACGTTCCAGATATGCACCATCCTCGTTTTCAGCCTGGACATTCACCTCCCCATGGAGGTGAATCAGACTGTGATCAAGTCTTATGTGAATCTGTTCATCTGTTCATCCGTCCATCCATTCCTCCCTCCAACATTATTCCACTCTTTGCCACTCTGTCCCATTAGTTTAGCCATCTGTTCTTCTATCCATCGTTAGCCCCACCTCACAGGGACATTGAAAGAAGGAACTAAGGGAAACTCAGCTGGCCAAGGCTCAGCCACCGTCTGAGCCCAAGGGATGCTACCTTTCCACTGGCAGCTTTGTTGGTGCCAGCACAGCTCTGGCCCCGGATTAGAAGTGCAGTGGTCAGGCAGAAGATGAGTCCGTGCTATGCTGAACAGGACCAGATGGCTTCTTGGATGGGTGACCCCTCAGAGCCACCAAGTGCCCTGGTGGTGGTCTTGGGGCCTGCCTGGCCAGCCCACCTCCCCAGCAGGAGTTCAGAGCCAGGTTCACATCCCAGTTTGAACTCTGATCTTGGGTCAGCTTGAGCCAGAGTGGCTCCCAAAGCTTGGCTGCCTTGTAAGACAAAGGGTGTCTTTCCTTCTTCCCTGGCATTGTTGGGAGCCTGCGATGCCCATCAAGTCTGGAGGCCCTGAGTCCTGGCCGCCTTCCGACTCCAACCCTACCCCTCCCATGAAGCCTCCCTGTGCAGCTGAGTTTGTGCCATTCCTGCTCAGACCCCTCAAACTAGGGCTGGGACTTGCCACCCCGTTTGCTCTGCTGGGATTTGGGGAATTCCACCCCAAGACCCCCCCCTCTTCCCAAGTCTTGACCATGCCTTCAGGCTTAGCTCTTGGCCACTCTTGTGTGTCCCAACTGCCTCTTCTCCATGGGACTCCCTCTGTGTCCCTCCCCACCAGGCACCCTGGCCCCAGCTTGCTGTGCACCCCTTTGCCCCCACGTAACTCTGTCTCTGACTGCCAGTGTTTGCCCAAGTTCATATCTTAATAAACATGTCAGATGCTTGCCACAAAAACTGCATTCTCTGAGCCGGTCCGATACACCAGGTCCCTTCCCGGGCAGCCTTGACAAAGAGCCTCACAGAGGGCTTAGTGGCTCCCTAAAATCCGTGTCCACATCCCCACCCCTGGAGCCTGACATTGTGGCCTTAGTTGGAAAAGGGGTCTTTGTGGGTGTACTTAGGCTAAGACTCTTGAGAGTGTGCTGGGTCACCTGGGCGGGTTGCAGTCCACTGACTAGTGTCTTTGTAGGGGACAAAATATCTGACACCCAGGGAGAAGACCTGAGAAGATGGGGCTGAGGGCCACGTGCAGCTCAGCAGGACAGCACTTGTCTGGCACATGAGTCTCTGGGTTCCATCCCAGCCCAGCAAGAGAAAAGGAGACGGAAGCTAGGGTCCTGGCAGCCAGAGTTCCGCTGCTTAAAGTCACTGAGTCTGTGGGACTTGATGCCACAGCCAGGGAAACTCCAGCTCCCTGGAGTTAGGTTCCATGCTCACATTTCAAAGGGGATGGGGACAGGGAACATGCCCAAAAGAGGTGAGGTGGCTGGCCAGGGCCACGGCTCTTCAGTGTAGAGTCACATTCTAGCCCAAGTCCAGTGTCCCTCAGGGCTAGGGTCAGGGTCAGGGTCAGGGTCACTATGGGACCCACAGCATAGTAGCAGTGGCCTAGCTGGGGTGGGCTTGAGGGTCCCTGTGGGGAGGGGCTAGGCGCACCATAAGGACTTTCTGGGTCCCTGACTCCCCCATCTCTACCACCAGGGCTGCCTCTCCTTCACACTGTCCCTCCAGCCCTCCTGACATACTTCTGGAGACCCTGTGGCACTCACCATACCCCTGGCTCTCCCCTGTGAACTGTCCCTCAGGACAGAGACTGCTCTTTGTCCCCAGGCCCAGTAACTACAGAGGGCCAGGCACACAGCAGGGACTCAACAGACACTGGCCGGGTGGGTGGACCTGTGAGATGTAGAAAAAACAAAGCTGGCCACACAGGGTCCCCTGGCACGGGGGTGGTGGGACTGGGGGGCAGCAGGATCCCTTCCTTCTCCCTCCTCTCTACCTGCCACCTGCAGGTCGCCTGTGGCCCCTCCAGCCCCCAGCATGGTCCCAGCACAGAGCTTCCCTGGGACACTGCTTCCCCCACTCCACTACCCCAGCCAGGGTCCTTCTCGGGCCCAGGCACTGATGCTGGAGGATGGCAGGGGACAGGATCTCATTTGTCATTTCTTCGGGGTAGAGGAGTAAGGGATCCAGGGACAGGAAGGCAGCAGATCAGACATAAGCTTCTGAGCCGTGGGTGAGAGGGCCAGGCCTGAGCTGTCCCCTGTGCCCAGCAGCTCTCAGGTTTTGATGGAGGTGGGGACAAGCTTCCAGATGGGGCCCAGGCAGGCTGAGGAACCGAACCTCCTGAGGCATGCATCCAACAGGACTCCGGCAACAACTTGTTGATTAAACACCTGTCCTACACCAGCATCTCGACGACTGGCAGAAAAGAGACCAGAACCCAAGTGTGTGGAGCTCCCGAACTGTTAAGAAAATACCGTCTTCACTCAGGGCAGCAAAATGGGGACCGACCTGAGCCCCCTTCCTGGAGATGGATGGCTGAAGTGACCTTCCCGCCCCCAAAGCGAGGAGGATGCCCACTGCCTCCACATTTCACCTTCCTTTGGTGGCCCACGTGCACCGGGGCGCACTCACACGTGCCACTCACGTGCCACTCACAGGCACACTCACACAGTCTCAGCAGGGACAGGACAGAAACTAGAGAGCAGACTTCCTTGGAGACTTTTTAATTGACTCTTTTCTGAAAGTCCTCTCTGGAACTGGGCGGCGGGCACCCCTTGTAGGGCCGTCGTGGTGGGTTAGGAGTGCGTCTGCTTGGGCTCAGGGTTTGGCTGGGCTGCCCCGTTATCCTGGATGCTCTCGTCCTGCTGCTCGGGCTCCATCAGCAGCAGCTTGCCCTGAACTGGGAGCTGTTCCTCCTCGTCCTCTTCCTCTTCCTCCTCGTCCTCTTCCTCTTCCTCCTCCTCCTCCTCCTCGTCCTCACCCTCCGACGACAGAGAGAAGTTATCTTGACTCACACAGGCCACAAGCTTCTTCATGGAGGATTCATGGCCACGGCTGTGACCTGAGTTGTGGCCTGTGCCATGGCCCGTGCTGAGCTTGGCACAGCGGGAACCCATGACCCTCTTTGCCTGTCTCTCTGGACTAGAGGCAGGTGGGCAGGGCTGTGAGGGTGGCAGGTAGAGCACTGACATCACAAAGGGGCTCATGGGGCCCACCCGCCACCCCGGAACCTGGGGCTGAGCCGGGTGGGGCCAGCCTGGAGAAGGACTTTCCTTTGAGCTTGATTGAGGACTGGGATGGAATTTCTGGAAGCAGAGGGAGACACAGAGACTTCTGCACAGAGAGGGCTGTGCAGAGTTTGTGGTGTTGGGGTCAGGAGAGTGGCTGGCTTTGTGCAAAGGTGCAAGGGAGCCTGGGGGCTGGGAGTGATGAGTTTCCCGATCTGCTGACACTTGGCAATGACCACTGAGCTGTGAACTTAAAAAGTATGTCTCAGTTCTCTATGAAACTGGGGGGGAAGAGAGCTCCCCAGTGCCAAAAACTCATAAAAAGCATCCCCCAAGCCAGCCACCAGTGGCTCAGTCCTGTAATCCTATTCGGGAGGCTGAGATCAGGAAGATTGTGGTTTGAAGCCAGCCTGGGCAAATAGAGTGGCTTAAGTGGTAGAGCACCTGCCTAGCACTCAAGACGAATGAGGCCCTGAGTTCAAACCTCAATACTGCCAAAAAAAAAAAAAGCAGCACTCAGAAAACCTGAAAGTGCCTCTAACATGTTGTAACTTTTTTGGGGGGGTCACATATTTTTCCTTGTGGTAACAGGGATGGATCCTAGGGCCTGTCACATGCCAGGAGGTGAAGAGTCCCCAGCAGTGCTTTGCATGCTCAGATGACGTTCACCCAGGGTGTGGTGATTTTGTTGTTCCTGAGCACACCGGTAATTCACATAAACCAGATCTTGCCATTTGTCCTCCATTTACCCTTCATGACAAGGAGCTCAAGTGGTAAAGCCCCTGCCTAGCAAGTACAAGGCCCTGAGTTCAAATCCCAGCACTGCCAAGAAAGAAATCCATCTGCTAACCTGGAAACACAAGGTGGAGAGGTGATCAGGTGGGCATCTATCCCTTAGAGGTGACCAAGGCCTCCTCTGTTTTCTCCACCTCTCACCCTCAGTTCCCGCGGTAGACGTTGCTCTTGCTGGAGCACACCAGACCTGCTAACCACCTCAGGGCCTTTGCACTTCTCACTCCCAGTTTTTGAGATAGGGTCTTGCTGTGTAGCCTAGGCTAGGCTTGAACTTGAGATCCTCCTGCCTCTACCTCCTGAGACACTGGGGACTTGAATGACTTAGGACTCCATCTTTGGGCTTGGTGGGAAGGTGACAGAGGTGATGTAGATAAGCTGTTGCAGCTAGAGATGAGGGTAAAGGCAAAAGAATAGGGCCCTTGGTATCATGAAAGGACACAACTGGACAGTGTCACAGATACTTTGTAGGAATGTCCCCACCCTCCTGGGTTCCCGCATGGAGCCAGAATGGTGATGTGTGCACAAAGGACAGCAGGACAGAGCTGTTCATGTCAAGCTTTATTTGCCAGGTGTCTTTGCTCATGATTACATTCGATGGGTTTCTTGGCAATCAAGGCTCAGGCATCAGCGTGGTGGGGTGGGGTGGCCTCCGTGGTGTTCCTTGGGCAGGGTGCAAGGACCTGGGAAGGTTTAATAGCGCCTGCTGCATCATCTCCTCCTCCTGCTTCTGCAGCCTTTTGGGAAAGAAAACGTTCTGGTTGTGATGCTGCCCGGGGATCTGTTGGGAGAGGCTTGGGGTCTTTCCCTTGGGTCACATGGCAAGGTGGAGCCCTGGCCTCCCTCCTGGCCTGCTGCTCAGGGACATAGGTGCAAAGGGGCTGGGGTCCCAGCTGCCCCCAGGTTTAAAGAATACTTGATAAAGTATTCTACTTTATAATGGGGGCATACCTCTGCGGTACCGCCTTCGGTGCCTGCAGCTGCGTCTCCGCCTCTGGCAGGACCTCCGGCAGCAGGACCGACGGCGGCCGCAACAGGACCGGCGTCTGCGGTGGGAGCAGCGCCGTTGTCGGTAGTGGCCACAGTGCATCCTGCCGTAGATCTCGATGTGCTCTGGGTTCAGATCCTGCTCCTGCTCGGGATCGTCCTGGTCCTCACGGTCATGGCCGTGCTCCTGCCTGTGCTCCTGGCATGGGCGCTTGCTGGGGCTCCTCGCACGGCAGCGGACCATGGTGCCAGGGACTCAGGCGGCTCAGGGCAGAGGCTGCAGCTGGCGTGGGGTGGAGGAGGAGGGCAGAGGCCTGCCCACCTGTTCTTGGTGTTGGTGTTCGTCTGGTGTGCAGGGCTCCGGGGCCCCTGTATATGAAAGAGGCCCCACTATGACCTGGAGGCCCGCCCGCGATTGTCCCCACCCTGCCCGGCCCCGCTATGAGGGCAGCACGGGGCAGGGCCCCTTGGCACACAGGTTGGGGGTGGGGGAGGACACAAGGAAAGGAGCCAGCTTTTCATCCAAATCCAAGCTCTTGTGGATGGAATTGCACACAGTCATTCCTTCTAGAAGGTTTCCCACCCCCTTGGGTCTGTGCCTCCATCTAGGATGTTGGGTTGCTCCAAATTGTGCAGGTGCAAGGTGGACGACAGTGTGTGCGGCAGGCGTCTATCTGCTCACTCTCCTCACACTACATCATCTCCCTTTTCGAGATTGTTCAAGGTCACTGCTGATAAGGGATAGGCCACCTGGCTATCCCTCCAAAGCACGCTCTGCCCCGCTCCTGGGCCTCTGTTTTTAACTGCGCAACAGAAAAGCATCCTACCCAGCATGCCCTCTGTTCCATCCCCAGCACCAAAATAAAAACGGACGTGTTATTTTGTTCCTTGTGGCACTGGGGTTTGAACTCAGGGCCTCCCACTTGCTAGGCAGGTGCTCTACCACATGAACCACATATCAGGCCTTTCTGCTTTAGTTTTCGAGTAGGGGCTCAGGTTTTTGAGGGGCTGGCCTGGATGGTAATCTTCCCACCTCTGTGTCTTGCCGCATCACCGGGATTACAGACATGAGCCACCCCACCCAGCCTCGAGTCTGGCTAACTTTGCCGAGGCAAAGCTCGTGATCCTCTTATCTCTGTCACCCGAGTGGCTGGGATTATAGATGTGTACCACTGTGCCCAGCACTGTGCAGTGTTTTGAGACGTATTAAGTGAGGGTTGGTCCCTCTGAAGTCCAGCTTCAGAACTGCAGCAACTGAAATCCCAGTTTCTCTCCCCTGCCGCGCAGGGAGAATGTAGCAGACAGACATCACCTTGCATAGCAGAGACTTGAGATGGAGCAGTGGCCCTGACTTATCTGGGTGGTTCTGGCGCAGTCACAGAGGTCCTTATGAGATGGCGGGAGAGGCAAGAGAATCACAGAAAGGGTGGCGGAGGCCTCGCTGCTGGCTTTGAAGGTGGAGGCTTCCCCTGAGCCTCCCAGAAGGAACTAATCCCACTGACACCTTGATCTCAGCCCAGCCTCAGTTCTGACCTGCAGAACTGTGATAAACTTGTGTTCCAAGCAGTGATATTTGTGAAGATCTGTTACAGCCTAATCCTGGCAAGGGCCAGGCCACCCTCCCCGGGGTGTCTATGTGCTGTTCCATACAGGGACGGAAGGGACCTCCCCTGGGGTTACTTATTCCTTATTAGAAATATGAATGACCAGGGCTTCTCCCAGGCCCTGCTAAAATCAAATCTCCGTGGATCAAAATAGAAAAACAGAAAAGAAGCCAAGACCCACCCAGAGGGTCTGCGTGTTGACCAGAGCTGTCACCCTCTGCCTGGGCACAGAAGCCATGCTGTGGGGACCTCCGGGGCTCCATTTGGCTCAGACCTGAGGCAGGCAGTTGAGGACAGAGGTGATGCACCTGGTGCTTCGTGAGCACAGTCCTAGCCATGGCACCTCAGAGGGGACTAGTGGCCCTGTCTCTCCTGGGAACCAGGTCTTAAGAACTCTGGTCACTGACAGATGCCCCAGGCTTGCTAGTGTGTCATGAAATGGTGACCCAGGGGCTGGGGAGGGGCTGGAGCAGGGCTTTCCCTCGCTTGAAACTGAACCTGTGGCCCAAGTCCCATGGGATTTCCCACGTCCGGGTTCCCAGTTCCCTTGGGATCCACATGTCATTGGGGTTTTGAACCCTTTGGTCTTGAAAACTTTGCTACAGGCAGAGGATGCACGGGTTTGAGTGTGGGCTTAGGTCCCCCAGGCTGGCGAGGTCCCGTTTCACAGGTGAGAACTTTTACTTCATGGAGCAAGTTTCTCCTGGGCAAGTCGTCACAGCGCCCACAGGACAGATTCCTAGGACAGCGGGGACTTTTGAACTTCATGGCTTTCTCAAGGCAGACTGGCTTTCCAATGTAACAAAGCCCTTCAGAGTGGAAATTTCAATGTGGGGCTGAAACAAACCACGTGACACTTTGGGGACCCGTGTGAGATGGCGATGAGCTGGTTAAGCCTGAAGTGCCTCTGGGGACTTTGGATCCCTTTGGGGCAAAGCCTCAATGTGGGACACCTGCCCGTCCAAGCACCGAGCCACTGAACAGTGAGTGACAAGTGCTCAGTGGCCGAGACGCACATGCCCGCCAGGTAGGCACCGAAGACAGATGGCTTGAGGAGGCTGGTCTCCCCTGTGACGGTGCCACAACTTGGTACTGTTGCCAAGAGGGTCACACACCCTTGCACAGACCGACCACACCCCCAGCCCGGATTCCCATCGCGAGCCTCGCCCTCCTCCCGCCCCCAGCCCCGCACTCCCTCAAGGACCAGGAGGCGGCAGTGGGATGAGTGTGACATTTATTGACAGGCGGCTTTGTTCCTGAGCAGGCTCCTGTTGTCCCTCGGACACATGGTGGCATTTAAGATGTGGCAGGGTGTTGAGGTCTGGTGGGGTCTCAGGCAGGAGTGTGATGGACTTGGCTATGGTCGGCACCTAGCATCTTCTACACCTCAGGGTGTAAGTGCGTTGACCGTAACACCCTGAGGGACAGGAGAGGCGTTGAGAGGAACCCCCGGCTCCCCGGCCCCCGCCCGGCCCCCGCCCGGGAGCCCCCCCTTACTCCTGGCCCGCCTCCGCCTCCGACAGCACTGTCTCCTTCCTCTGCGACATCTCCGCCTGCGGCGGCGGCGACATCTGCTCCGGCTTGTGCTACGGCAGCAGTATCTGCCCATGGAGCCGGGTGCACTCGGCCTGGACTTGACTCAGAGCAGTGGGCACCACCTTGGTCGAGCCAGCCAACCTGTGAGCAGGTGGAACTTCGCGGGCTGTGAGCCAGGCCCCCGGCCCCGATTCTCTTATAGACACCTGGGGCCCCCCAGGCATTGTGAGGTCAAGGGGGCCCGGACCTCACAGAGCAGGGCCAGCGCTGGCCTGCTTCGCGTCCATATATGGGCGAGTGTGGGGAGAGCAGACCCCAGGCAGGGTCTCCGTGTCACAGTCAAGGGATTACAAGGTGACCTTCGTGTAAGGGCCCTCCCTCCCTCACTCAGTCAACCAACAAACTATTACTAAGTGCCTACTGTGTGCCTGATGACCCAGGGACAAGTGAAACAGACCTGTTCCTGCCTGGCAGACTTTGCAACCCAGGGAGTGCCGGCCAGTGACCCTGAAGGGCATCTGAGTGGGAGGCGGGAAGGAGAACAGCTCCCGGGAGGGCCTGTGGTCCTGTTAGATGAGACATGGAGGGTGTGACTGCGTGGGTACCACTGAAAAATAAAGTGAATAAATACGTGATCGACTCCTTGTAATTCAATAGATTGTCATTAAAAAGAGGCAGAGATGGGTGAGGGGGTAGTGGGGCAGAGGGCATAGAATTTAGTTGCTCATCTCGGGAAAGAGGTTGTTTTGTATGGCTCTTGAAACTGTTCTCAAACTTTGAGGTTACTTCAAAATTATTAATTTTTTGGGGGGTGGTACTGGGGTTTGAACTCGGTGCCACTTGCTAGGCCAGCACTCTGGCACTTGAGTCACTCCCCAGCCTGAGAAAGTGTCTCACTAACTTTTTGTCTGGGCTGGCTGGCCTCAACCTGTGATCCTCCTGTCTTTGCCTCCAGAGTAGCTGGGATTACAGGTGTTTTCCTCCATGCCTGACTCAATTACAATTAAGTAAAAGAAAGAGGAAGAGAGAAGTGTGCCCCCGGGCTGTGTGGGGACACCACACTAATTTGGGCCCCAGCTTTTAACCTTCTGCTCTCTCTTCAACAAGTGCATTTCATTCTCAGAGTTGCCTCACAGCCCGAGATCAGGGCTGCCTAGGACGGTTGTGCAGTTTGAGAACTGCTCAAAGCTCCCAGTCAAGGGATTTAGTAGGTCTGACATGCAGCTTGGGGTCTGCTCGCTAAGCCAGCATTCACCGTACAAATCTTTTTTCAAATTTGCACAAAGGTACTCAAAGGCTGGCCGTGGCCTCGCTGGAAGTTTAGCCACTGTCCAAGCAGGAATGGCTAAGGAGCCATTGTCTGTAAAGAGCTTTCCCGTACGTCCGTCCTTCCAGCAACTTCCCTGTGGACCATTGGCCTTGCTTTAAGCGTGTGCTAAGTGGGCGTGGAGAGGGTTCCGAGGGGGAATGTGACTGCAGGCAGGCAGCTCGTGTCCCTGTCCCAGAGAGGGGCAGCCCCGCTCCAGTCCAAGCCGGGGGACACTTGCATTTCAAGCTAGTCCTCTGGGTAACCTGGTCATCGCTCACTCACTGACTTATGTCTCCGCGAACGCAAAAGTCACGATCCTAACCCTCTCGCCCCTAGCGCCTCCAAACCGCCCACTTGGACCCGATGGAGCCCACGGGAGGGCAGAGGTGGGTGTTCACCTGGCATTCATTGACACAGATTGAGGAGGTGGAAGTTTTTTTGCCTTCTGGCTTTTATTGAGCACCTCTTATGTCTGGGTCATGGGGGATGTGCTCCTGCCTAGGGAAAGAAACCCACAGTCAGCTGGGCACACGTGACCCTTTGAAAGTTACTACACGTGGACACCTAATCAGACGTGACAGAGAGGGGCCAAGGGTCCGGTCAGGCTGCTTGGGAGATGCCTGTAGGAGAGCTGATGTTTGAAATGGGAGCTGAGTGACAAGAAGGAGCCCTAGGTGCCAACAGCTGTCTGGGGCAGGCGTCCAGCTGCAGAGGGGCTAGGGCTCTGCACCGCACAACTGCACGGGGCCCAGGCTTCCGCAGCTCCATCTTGTGGACACACAGCTTCTGATGGGG